AAAGGATCAGGGAGAGTAAAGGTAAGCCTCAGAGCCCCAGAAAGAGGCTGTCATTCCCAGAAAGAGGCTGGCGGGGGTTGGAGGACCAGGGAAGTAGAGGGAGATGAGGGCAGGGCCAGGACCAGAAGCGGTGCTCCTGGAGCCCAAGAAAGGGACTGAGTTGCTCTGGGTGAGAAGGGTCAGGAAGCAGTATTGGTTCCCCAGGTGTCTGAGGCCCCAAGACTAGGAATGGCGCAGGGCCCAAACTAGGAGTATAGAAAGGCAAGGCGGGGGGATGGAAGGGTGAATGTGGCTTAGGGAGTCCCGGCGCAGAGAGCTGCGCTATCGACTTACCCCAAGAGGCCTGAGGATAGTAGTGCAGGCTAGGAGCTCTATCCTATTTTTTAATTGGCCCATAAGTTATTTAGAAGTATTTTATGCTCCACACTTGAGAATATTTTCTAGATGTCTTTTTGTAATTTACTTCTAACTTAATTACATTGTGGTCAGAGAATGTGGTCTGTATGACACCATTTCTCAGAGGTTTGTTGAGACTTGCTTTATGGCATAGCCCTTTAATCATTTTTGTAAATTTGTACTTGTGAAGAACATTAATTTTTTAATAGCTGCAATCAGAACTCCCTGTATAATGATTGGCTTGGCGTTGTCAGGGGGTTTGTTCCAATCTTCTATATCTTGTTTTGTCTGCCTGACCTATCAACAATTTTTGAAATATCCCAGTATCATAGTAGAGTGTTTCCAGAGTTGTAGTTCTCTTTTTTTATATTTTATTTATTATTCTTATTTTATGTGTATGAGTGTATTGCCTGCATGTATGTGAGTGCACCCATGTCATGCAATGCTGTGGAGGTCCGAAGAGAGCTTCATATTCCCCTGGAACTTTTATTAATGCAGTCTAGTGATGTCTGCTTATTCTCTCTCTCTCCCTCCCCCCCCCATATTTGAGACAGGTTGGCCTCACTATGTAACCGTGGATGACCTTGAATTTGTAATCCTCCTGCTTTCACCTCCTGAGTGTTGGGATTAAGGTTGTGTGCAACAATGCCCAGTTTTGATCACTGTTTTTGGATAGATTACTACATTGATATTTATTGTGATGATTCTGCCATCCTGCTTTTCTTACCAGTAGCTTTATACCTACCTCAGCACTCTATTTCTGTGTTTTTATTGATTACCTTGAAATTCTATCATGTATACTTAACTTTCCATGTATTAAAGTCAAACAATGTAGGTTAAACAATATTTTTAGTACATTTATTTGTTTTATTTATGTATTTATTTGAGAGAGACACAGAGAGTGTGTGTGTTTGTGTGTGTGTGCGTGTGTGTGTGTGTGCGCAGTAGCACATGTGTAGAGGTCAGAGAATAACTTGCAGGAGTCACTTCCACCATGTGGGTTTCAGGGATCAAACTCAGGTTGTGGGACTTGGAAGCAAGTGCCTTTTGGCACTGGCCCAGATTTCTTTTTATTTATCTTGTTTGAGATGCTATTTTTCCTGGATCTGTATGGTCATGTTCTCCTCAGTTCAAGAAAATGTTCAACTATTACTTCTTAAAACACCTCGTTTTCATTCTCTCTGTTCTTTATTTCAGAATTTCAGTTAGATGTTAGATATTCCTTCTATATTTCATATTCCTTTCTTATCTCTTATTTTCTGTTTACCTTGTGGCTTTATTTCTATGACCTGTATTGTATGTAATTTTTCACTTATATCCTCCTGTTCACTGAAACTCTCTTCAGCCAAAGACTTTAGTTTATCTATTCATTAGCTTATAGCATCCTTGCATTTTGTTTTAGAAGTGCTAACCATTTGTGTTTTCTTTTCAATTCTGTCTACTCATACCGGACAGTCAATTTTGATATTCATCCTTGCAATGGACTCTTATTTTTCTTCTAGTATTGAACATGCAAGTATTTTATAGTCTATGTCTGACCATCCCAATATCACTTATCCTTGAAGGTCTAAATCTGTACTGTTGCTGATATCTCACATATGACAACTTGCCTTATTTTATTTTTGGTGATGTTTGATTGCTAAGTCCTTGAGTGTGCTATTCAGTGGATGTCCTGTGGACCTAAATTGGGCAGTCTTTCCTCCAGAGGGGATTTGTTCCTTGTTCTGCCAGTTGCCGTGGCATACCACTGATCTAAGTCTTGGCTTCCTATAGAGTCCTAGCTGCCACTTTTTTTAATTGTCTTTATTTTTATGTGTATGAGTGCATTGTCTGCATGTATGCAAGTGCACCCGTGTCGTACAATGTCCATGGAGGTCAGAAGAAGGTGTCAGATCCCCTGGAACTAGAGTTACAGATGGTTGTTAGCCACCATGTGGGTGCTGGGAGTCAAATCTGGGTCCTTGGCCAGAGCAGTCAGTGCTCTTAACCACTGAGCAATTTCTCCAGCCCCTAGCTGCCACTTTAAAAAAAAAAACTTTTTTATTTTGTGTGTATGAGTATTGCCTGCATGTAGATAAGTGCACCTGTGTCATGCAATGCCCACAGAGGACAGAAGAGGCTGCCGGATCCCCTGGAACTGGAGTTACGAACAGTTGTTAGCTGCCATGTGGGTGCTGGGATTCAAACCCGGATCTTTTTCAAGAACAGCCAGTGTTCTTAACTACTGAACCATCTCTGCAACCCCATAGCTGCCATTTCTTTAGCTCGCTATTGGCCCAAGCCTCAGAGTCCAGCTCAGTATTGCTTCTCTGGTATTCAGCCTCCTCACTAGCTCACTGCACCCTAACTTCGCCACCACTCTGGATCTAGCTTCTAGAGTTCTAGTGTGTGAATAGGAAGAATGGGACTGAAAATGAATGGCATAGAGAAAGCAGTTTTGAAGAAGTGTATCTTATATAAGATACAATTATGAACAAAGTCTTTAAGAGTCCAATCAGGCTGGGGATGTTGGTGCACACCTTTAATCCCAGCACTTGGGAGGCAGAGGCAGGTGGATCTCTGTGAGTTTGAGGCCAGCTGGGGCTACAGGGAGACCCTGTCTCAAAAAGACAAAAAAAAAAAAGTCCAATCAGTTATGTAGGAAGTAAAAGGTCCTGGTTTTTATCTTATTTTTCTTAGGACAGCATGGTGCAGTGATCACCAACATACCCAGAACCCACCTATAAGTAGCATTAACTCAGAGCCACACTACTTTCTAATGTATCTGTCCTACTTTCACTCCTGCCTCAGTTATTCTTAATTAGTCTTAAATATCTTATCATTTTGTCTTAAGCACATTAGTATATATTTCTAAGTGATACTGTGAGTTTTGCATAATGAAGCCAGGTCAGTATGTAAATATGTACACAATTTATAAATAAGGAAACAAAATTGTAAGTAACATTGTTAAGTATTAGTTCTCAGTCATTTTTTCTGGTTCAAATATTATAGAATAATAAAGTCGTATAACATTACTATGAAAAGATTAAATTAGACCAGGCATGGTGGCACACACTTGAAATTCTAGCACACATAGGAGGCTGAGGCAGGAAGATGGTGAGTTCAAGGCAAGCCCAGATTATATAGTAAGACCTTGTCTCAAAATACCCCCCAAAAGGACAATTACTTATGTTTAATGTATGTTATTAGATGTTAGCATATCACCATTGTTATAAAATTGACAGCCCTTGTCTTGTATTTGGTGGATTAATCATAGAAGCAAGATGCTTACTATGTGCCAAGAACAGTTCTAAATCCTCTATAGCCATTAAATTCATTTAGTCCTCAAAGCAGTATTGTGAATTGGGTAGTGCGTTCATCTCCAGTTTTCAAAAAATGAAACCTGAGGCATGTCATTAATTTACTCAATATCTTAAAGCTAGTAAATGAATTTGAATTCAGGCAGCCTAGATCTAGAAGCCATACTTTCAAACCAGTACACATACCACCTGTCTCATAAAATTCAACAGATTTCCACCACCATCTAGCAACACTGTGCCTTCTGAAAGTAAATGTTATCTGTGCAAATGATTTTGCTATATGAGTTAAATAATTCTGCAGCCAAACTTGAACCTGTCTCTGGAATACTGACTTTCAATATATAACTTTTTTATTGCATTGCTCTCTTTGAATTTCATTATTATAAAACATTTACTCATTTCATGTTTATAATTTTGTGTGATTTCCTTAGGTACACTTCATGTTGGTGATGAAATTCGAGAAATCAATGGCATCAGTGTGGCTAACCAAACGGTGGAACAGCTGCAAAAAATGCTTGTAAGCAAATGAAAGTTTTCCTTTTTCTAAGATTAACTTTCATTTCATTAGCTTACTTTTCATTTTAAAATATTTTATTTATTATTTTTATATTATGTGTATGAGTGTTTTGCCTGTATGTATGTAAGTGCACCTGTGTTGTACAATGCATGCAGAGATCAGAAGAGGACATTGACTCCCCTGGAACTGGAGTTATGGATAGTTGTTAGTCTGCATGTGGGTGCTGTGATTCAAACCCAGGTCCTCTGCAAGAGCAGCCAGGGCGCTTAACCACTAAGCTGTCTCTCCAGCCTCTGTTTTTCATTTTTTAATTACATTTATTTATTATGTGGGTATGGTGCATTCATGCCTTGACATGTGTAGAAGTCAGAGGACAATTTGTAGGAATTGGTTCTTTCCTCTACCATTTGGATTCCAGGAATGGAACTCAGGTCATCAGGCTTGGCAGCAAGAGACTTCACCTGCTGAGCCATCTCACCACCTCCATTAGCTTGTTTTTTTAAAACATGCATAATAATACAGGCTGGAAAAATAACTCAGTAGGTAAAGGCACTTGCTGTGCAAGCATGAGAACCTGAATTTGGATTCCAGTACTCACATAAAAAGCTGGGCAAAGTCTCATGTGCCTGTAACCCCAGCACTGGGTAGGGTGGAGAAATGAGGATGGCTCGGGTATGCTAGCCACTGCCTAGCTCCAGGTTCAGTGAGAGACCCTGTGTCAAAGGAAGAAGATGGGGAGTGATAGAGCACCCAACATCCTGGCCCCATGCATGTGTGCATGCATACAGGTGCTGGCACCCATACACATGCACAGACACATACACCAACTGTACTCACAGACATGCTTGACACACATCAAATAAATAAATACACACACACAGAGATAATAAATAAATAAATAAATAAATAAATAAATAAATAAATAAATAAATGTAGATAAAACACACATAATGAATCAATCCTAATCAGAGAAATTCCAGTAACATCATTTATGTGCAGTTGAATTTGGACAGCCTTTGTTAAAAACTGACAACTAGGAAAATGTTTCAATACAGTGGAATTTGGAAGCATTTTGCCTGTCTTTAGCAGTGTGGGCTCTAACACTCTCTCCATCCTTTATCTGTTTTTTACCAAGCAGATATTTACAGAAAACCCTTCCACTATGTACTTATGCGAACTAGTTTCTCGCTGACCTCAAGGCTCCTGACATAAGCACTGTCAGAAACCTCTTTCCTGCTTAGCTGAGTCATGGCCAGCTGTGGTGCACCTCTTTGCAGCACAAAGAAGAGGAAAGTCACTGTAGACCAGGCTATTTTTGACTATGCATACCAAAATCTGTGTTGAAATTGGGCTTTCTGTTAAAAAGAAGCAGCAGCAGAGTGGCTGGCAGGCAGTCTATGCTCCTTGCAGCAAGCAGAGGGAGATGTTGGCACCTCGGGTCCCTCTTCCCACTGCAGTGCAGAAGCCTCCCGTGTAATGAATACCTATTAGGCATGAAATAAGGACCACAGGCTTCCTATAATGAAAAATGAATGCCAAAATTAATAAAGTAAAAAAGCCTATTTTATGGAGACACCATAGTAGAATAGCATATTAAATAGGATTTTATGTAATCAGTCTAGAGTCTAGTTCAATTTATAGTCATTTTTGGAAGGCTTGTCCTTTAGACTATTTTGTATTCATGTCTACACAAAGGTAACCATCAGAGATCTGTGAAATCATTCATTGCTAAGATACAAGGCAGTCAGTCTTGACTTTGCTAGGCCTTTCCCAGAAACTTCTACTGCTAACCTGAGCAATTCCTGCCTTAGACTTAGGTTTCATTTTAGGGCTGTGCATCGTCAGGTGGTGTGTGCTAATTGCACTCATATGTTTTGAGTGGTTTCTTCTGTGTTTTTGTGTGCAACGACTGTTTCCATGAGAACTCTCCTCTTCTTTCCTCCAGAGGGAAATGCGGGGGAGTATTACCTTCAAGATTGTGCCAAGCTACCGCACTCAGTCTTCGTCCTGTGAGGTAATAACTCAAACAAGTCTCCCCCATCTCCTCAGAGTTCTTAACTAACTGTCTGCTGATGGCTGAATGTTTTTGCTTTCTGGGAAATGGTTTCTGCCTGTGCTGTTAGATCACTGCACACCAATTTTACAACAAAGATAACGGAACAGAGGAGGTCCCACCCACCTACTCAACCCCGTTTCCATGCAGATCTCCTCAGCACTTGAACTTTATGCAGGCTGAAATCTAAGCCAAATATAAAAATACTACAATGCCATAAAGCTTGATAAAGAAAAACAATGAAATCTCAGGCAAAAAAAGAGATATCATAATTGCAATAATATTTGCAGGAAGTATATTTACTTCTCTTACTAAGAAATCGAATAGTTCTTCTTTCCAAGAATCTGAGAAGTAACCTAGTTCTGTTGAGATATATTTGTTTAAATAATTGTGACAGGTCTTGAGATAAACATTAATTCCCTGATAAATTGATAACTTCACTTTTGTAAAATTGTGTATATTTGGGATGTTATGTGACTTATAAACAAGTAAAATTTTGTAGAATAAAACAACCCCAAAGTTTCTTAAAATAGGTTTATCCTATGGAAATTGGAGCTCTTTCAACATATATTTTTCAGTTTTATGTTGGTTATTGTAGTCAAAAATGTATTGTTTCTGTATTTGGAAATAGAAATGATCATAACATATTATTCTTTGGTCATAGCACAGTCAACTCAGGAATTATTATTGAAGCTTGTTTTTTTTATCCTGTGCATCTTCCAAGTCTGTATGCATTAATATGAAGTACAAGAGCTGGAGATGTAGCTCAGTGGCAGAGCTCTTGCCTAGCACATGTGAGACCCTGGGTCCAATTCCTATCACTGCATGCAAATGAA